GTAGTCACTGAGCGAAACAGGATATTAATCATTTTCCCCTTGTTCCACCTCTGTCCCGTCCACCCCGCAGCATCCCGTCCATCAGCCTCAAGACTCTCATGGAGTGCCATTAGGATTTCATTCTCAGTGCCCCCGAGATCGAGATCGGGGCAGTTGAATTTGTCAGGAGGGGTTTCGCAGCCGCTCCCTTACTTTAGGCACTGAATACACTTAGCATACTCTTTTGTGGGAGTACGGTCATCCGTGCCTGCGAGCCTGACACGGCTAAGTAACGCTTAGGGCTTTTTATCAGGTGGATGATAAAGAACTGCGGGGCTGGAAAGGAGACATCCTAGGGCTGCGGGACTGAGACCCGACACGACCCATTCCTTAGGCGGCTCCTCACTATCTTCGGTCGGGCGGATGGAAACATAGCCTTCCATCTTCCCTTCCTGCCCAGCTTGATGATACACCACATGAGCCCATAAATTGTCGGCGTTCATGGTTGGGGGCCGGTGATGGTTTCCCCACAGGCAATGCCTAATTAACTCGTCGGCATCTCCTTCGTTTCCCCTTTTCCCCGAGGATCCCATCCTCGTCGCCATGTGCAACCTAACTATGGGTGGTTGAGCCCAATTCACTCGAGTAGGTCGGGGACAAAAGGGTTCGGGCCTTTCCTCCTTCTTCTGTCTCTCCCTCTGTCGACAGAAACACACCGGGGAGGCAGTGAGATAAGAAAATCGCTTTACTCACTATTTCAGGCAACAAACTCGTACAGCTGTATCAGGAATCTAGTTCGCCGATTCCTCGGGAGCTCTTAAGTATGCTCAGATGGTATACCAAATCGTGATGGGGCCGTCCAGGTTTTCGCGGACGCAGGACCTCCGGCGAGGGTGATCAGTCCTCTCCGATATTACGCGGGTCCCCCCTGTTGTTTTGGCGCGCTCCCCTTTTTAACCGGGCAGCGTCTGCCCGCCCCCTGCCAATCAGCACAGTCGGGAACACTGCTAACCGCGCCCATCACTCCTCCTCCCCATGCTATGAGCACGGCTTGCTCTCACGTTGGTGTTTGGTCATATCTTTCTCATTTCTTTACCACAATGCAAATATAATCTATTTAAGTGAAACATATTTAGGTCACAGATATTTGCAACTTTGACACTAGATTTTGAATAAACCCCAATATCTCATAAGAAAATCATTTAAAAAGCATATTTTTACATGGTTTTAATCCTTCCTGGATTGAATCTAATCCCAGTCCCCTTTCAGGTTCTTATACTCAACCATTTTGGGAAGCATTCATTTTAAGATATCTTCTGAATTAAAGACAAAGGCAGTTGTTACCTCTTAATGAGAAAGATGATATTGCAGCATTTTAGCCAGACTGGAAAGCCAAGCAGCATGAAAACCAGAGGAGAAGGAATTAAATTCAATTGAAAACATCAGTTATTTAAACTTTCTTATAGTGGTCAGATCCAGTAAACTTGCCTCTGTGTCCAATGTCTCTGCTGCTTGTTGTATGGTGGCACTGTTGGCCTGGTGCTCACACAAAGTCTCATTGCTAGCTCACATCTTTATTGGTTCAGTGTCCTTGCATTCTGTGTCTGAAAACTGTTTCGTAGCTGAGTTTGCTTTTTTTAGACGTCAAGATCTTAACCAGACCAGAAATGTTTGTTTCCTTATATTTAGTCAGCAGATTTAGCTTCTATTATTCTAACAAGGTCTAATAACATACAAGAGAATTATCCTGCTTTCCAAGGTGCCTGTAATCCACTCGATTATGAACACTTGGATAATATTGGTTTCAGAGATAGATGGGTTCCAAGATGAAAAAGTGTTGTATATCCCTGGGTTGTGCTGTTCTGTAACCATTAATTTAAAACAGACCAGGTTGTTTTTGAAGTGAATGCTCTCACCCTTCTTTATTATCACAATTACTACTACAGGCTGCTGATCCTGCCCCCAGAAAAACAAACAAAGATCTTTCCAGCTCTTCCTCAAGCTTCTTATAACAAGTGCTGGTGATTAAATTAGCTAGTTCATTAAAAAGTTAAACGTGATTTTATTGAGGTAAGCAATTCCAAATCAAAGAACCCAGTTCACAGATCTAGATTGAAGCACATAATTGGCATATGTTTTGGGATAGCTGTTAAAGCTATAAAAAAGATTTACTAGAGAAGGAATGGATCCAAAAACCCTAAAGGAAGGAATATGGTATTTGTGTGACTCAGTTTTAAAAATGGACTCAATAGGAAGATTTTATCTCCTTTATGACAAGAAACTGAAATGAATATAAACCTTTTATGTAACCTCTTTAGTGAGAAGTTATCTGTTTATCCTATGACATACGATTAAATTGCTTAGTTTTTCTACAGGTTTAATGATTATTAGCTAAGGTGTATATTTGTATGAAAGCATATGCATAAAAGTGAGATCTAGCTATAAGATAGGGGAAATGAGAAAGTATATTCTCTCATTTGGGGTAATTCATGATGAGTCTAGCATTAAAACCACAGTCCTGCAAACACTTAGGCATAGGCTACCTGTGTGCTACCTGTATGCATCTGGGTATCTAATAGGATGGCTGAAGCAATCAGGACTCGTGGTAGAGATTTTATCTTTTATTAGACCAATTAGATTTTTGCAAAAACAATTCTTTAATTGCAAGCTTTCAAGCACAAACACCCTTCATCAGGCATCAGAGAAAAGATTATAAAAGTTCTCCTGTGTAGAAATGAAAGTTTGGAGATGGCTCACATTTATCAATTTAAGCCTGTGCATACTTTTTCCAGGATCAGGATCCAGGCTTTTCTAAAGTGTTCTTTTGAAGCAAAGAATTTTGTTCTAAGTTCTTTGTTAGGCCTCAAGTCTTAAAAGTTCCTAGGTTTTATGGGACTGTCTTCCTATTAATATATTTTAAAATGTTTATTTCAAAATATAGTGATTTACTGGTTAATTTTTAAAGTTTTTTTTTTAACAAATGGAGTCTATCACTTTTTTTATTTTTCAATTGTGAGATTATAAATGATTAAAAGTATTAAAATTCATTTAGATCCTTCATGTTTGTATGAGCTAAGCTATTTTTTAAAGTCCTGATTGCTTGATTGATACAATGTAACAACTTACTACATTCTGCTGCTGATTTTACCATTGGACTTTGTATGATGCCATTGAGGCATTTTCAATTATTAGCCTTCCCAAGGGCTCTTTTCAGACAAAATGTTATGCATCAGCTCTTATTTGAGTGTAAGCCTATTGAATAGCATTCTCCACTTTGCCAACTTGGCAGCAACTTTTCCTGCTAATAAAAGAGGTAACCCCAGATAGAGATCCCAGATGTGCCTGAGCTACTTTTATTAGCACTATGGAGGGGTTCAGCGTTTCCTTCTAAATGCATTCGAAAGAGGTGTGGGCTTGCCTTCATAATTGTCCAAAGATTTGCATTACATCACTGGAAATTTCTCTTCAAGACTGAAGAAAAATGGTTAGATCTGTTAGTGCAAAAAACAGTTTAGGAAATTTTGATAGGCAAAATTAAGACTGTTTCTTGCCAAAATACAAACCCCCTTTTGATACTGCTGAATCCTATTGAGAATGGGGAGGAAATTGCTGTTTAACATCATCTGACTAAAATTGAACTCATTTGTTGCAGGTTATCTGATCAGACTAAGTAGCAATATATGTATATTGGAATAGCAGCCACAACAACCCAACCTGGTGCCTATGTAAAAAAATGTGCATAAAACTGTAAGGAAGGTAAAAATGCCCATTTTGTGTTCTGTTTAGCCCTTCCCCCACCAAGATACTTGATTATGATAATTAATTTCTGAATAATTATTAACTGTTATTTTCCACATAGAAATGATATTATCCATTAGTGATAATGCCACCTTGAAAACTTCCTGACTCTATCTTATTCTAAACTAAGACATGCTTTGGATGTAGGATGTTAATTAACTCTGTCTTATAAAAAAATAAGGTTTTCAGACTGTCCCTGGTAAGTAAATTCTCTGCACTATGAGAGGGAACATTTTATCTACTTCCCAATTATAAAAATAAAATTATTATGTAAGAGTGCACATGTTAGTGTAAGATGATTCTTTTCACTACAGACTGCCTTTATTACAGCCAGAGGCTTTTAACTGCAGTCAGTCAGTTTTCAAATTGGGAAACGAAAATATTGCCATACTGTTCCCCCACCCCATTCTTATTTTTTAAAAAGCTGTGTATGCTCCACTGTCTTTTTCCTTTTTTCAAATGTTATCTTTGAGAAGTGGGTGTAGCCACTGTTGGAGCACTCAGTAGATTAATACAGTGAATTATGCTGACCACTATTATCCAAAACTGTAAAAGCCATTATGTTTGCACTCTTGAATCATAATAGTGTTATTCCTCTTAAGGCTGATGATGTGCTGCAAACACTGTCAGCCTTCCGCTGAAAGATCTATATGTCTACATACTAGTGGGAAAATGTGTATTAATTAAAATCATTGATAGCTTCCTTCTGTATTGTCCATCTTTTTATTAAACTATGAAAATGAATAATATGAGCTTGATCTAACTTCCAACAAAATCTCCTGTTGATTTTATTTGTAGCTAGATGGACCTTTAAGAAATAGTACAGTGGATTCATTTCACAGTGGTGACATGCCATACCAACTAATTCAAACTTCTGAAGACAAGGTCTGATGGAAAACTGATTGAAAGGCTCCCATTAACATCAAGCCATTGAATGAGGCCCAGGGTTAACAGCTTATTTTCTGCACAACAAGAAAGAGTTGTAAAAGGTGCTGGCTATATAAGTACCATGAACTACTCAAATTTTACTTTTAGGCTGTACTTCTGCTCCATGTATTAGTTCCTATGAAAATAGCATTAATACATGTATGTAAGGAATAGTGTCTAATAGTGAATAAAATATATCTATTAACTTTAAAAATCTTTTTATATAAAAAGTGGAAAGCTACAAGTGACTTAAAATCCTAAACTTCTCATGCTGTATACTTAACTGTATTTTTTAGGTTCCAAATTCAAAGAGGGAAAACTGATCCAACAAATTACAGGAGCTTGGGGGACTGTTTCAGGACCATTTCCCGGACAGAAGGGTAAGCAAGTACATTATTACAGGTGTCAGTTTTATGTGGTTTTTTTTTAATTGCCCAGCTTTACTGACACTGGAACACCATCTTATAATTCACTCTTTCTCCTGTCATCAGAATTTGGCTAAAATTTAACTTGATACCAAAAACACAACTTGAAACCTCTTACAGATCTCTTATTCTTAGGGTGGCAGATCTGAGGGTTTGTCTTCCTGGGCAATGCAGGATATGTAGAGATACCAGAGCTAGCTCTGAACAAGGAGCTTGGTTACTGGAAGTAAAATAGGCAGGTTGGCCTGGTGCCCGGCTGTAGCTAGTTACTCCTGCTTTTCAGATAGGTCAGTATCTCTTTCATGGTACCATAGTTAAGTCTTGTAGATATAACCTGCCTACACCAGCGTTGACCCAGTAAATTCAATTGGCAATGCATTCTAGCCTAACAGCTTATGTAATGTTACCATCCATCCTATTTCATATTAAGTAACACCCATGCAGTATAACACCAATTTCTGCACTCTGATTAATTAATATGCCCACTTAGCTGCTGTAGGTTAGGCTCCCATTAATTGTCACAGCTAAGGCTCCTCAGCTTTTCAGTTCTGTGTTGTATTCAAAATCTGCAGGATTTAAACTCCCTGAGCCATGTGTCTCCTAAACATTGGTCACTTAACCATCATAGTTTTCATCTTTTCTCAAAGGCATAAAGACCATTTATTATACAAATATGATAACATTATTGTTGATGTTATTTCCATTTGTAAATAACCCTGAGGTAATCTCAGACAAATTGTATGATATCCCTGTGAGATAACTTGCCTTTAATTTTTAAAAATATTTCTAGTTTTCAGTAGGTGCATCCACATGTCTGCTTTAATGCACATTAACCTATTTTAATATGCATTAAAGTGTCACAAAAACCATGTTCCTTAGCTAATGAGCATTAAAATAGGCGCATTTTTCTAGTGCCTCACAATGGAGGTACGCATTACCTAAAGTGCATTAGTGAACATATAGATGTGCCCAGTAGGTTCATCTACATGAGATACTTACTGCAGAATTGTTTAATTACCTCTGCAGCAGAGTGTCACCATCTACATGAGCGGTGCTATTAGGCCAAAGTAAACTAAGTCTTCTATAGCATAGTACTGCCCACCACAAGTACTGTTCTATGGTGGAGTTATTTACTCTTCCACAATGCAGGTATAGACAGTGACCGGGGCTGGCTGGGGCATGTGGGTTCTACAGTGCAGGGCTGCCTGCTAGCTAGCTCTGCACTGTAGCACCCTCATACCCCAGCCAGCCCCTCTGCAGCACACTGAGTCAGGACTGAGCAGCTCCAGACTGGCAGGTTGATCCCCCCAGGCCTCCTGACAAGTGGGCGTGCGCTGGCTCAATGTGCTGTGGTCCCAGGCACATGTGTAAATGCTGCATCCAGGAGCAATAAATTCTGGTGTGAACTGCGCTGGAGTTTATTGCATGAAATTAATTTCACATGTAGATGTGCCCAGTATGAAATAGAAAGTCAATGACCTTTAATGATCAACCTTTTTGCTTCTTGTCTTCATTCTGTCAGTGACTCTACAAAGTACTGAGCATAACACATCCTAACGCTGCCGCCTTTGCCTTTCATTAACAAGCATTTTGTCACTCATTAAATGCCACAGTGGGCACATCTACACTGCGCAGTAGCATGTCAGACAAAAACCATGCTAATATGCTACTGTGCAGTAGTATTAAGCTACTGCACAATACACATCGCTAAAAATTCATGTTTTGATACTACTGCACAGTGGCACAAGTTATGCACATTGATTTAGTACTTGGTTATCCAAGAACTAAATGTACAGTAACTATGGTGCATTAATGAACATGTAGCCTTGCCCATTAAGTGTAAAATACTGCTCTCAGCTTAAGGGAACTGCTTTTAGCTTAAGGGTGCAGACAGACATAACACTTAAACCTGTCTAAATGTGGTTTAAACCTCAGGTGGCCAGACATACAAGCCAATTTTAAATGGTTTAAGCCTCCTGAACTGTTTAAAAAATATACCTGGATAATCAGGAACCAAATTCAGAGTCCCTGCGAACTCGTGTTATGTGCAATCACCAAGTTTTTTGTGACTAGTGTCTGGTTCATCCTCCAGACATCCCACACTGTACTGCTCCTCACCCCCCTACCCCAACCTGTGTGCAGTGGGGTTGTGCAAGGCTTCAGACAGAGCTTCGGATCTGGAGAAGCTTTGGACGCTTCGGGGTCTGAAGCAGCACATCCAGCTGGGAGTGCTGGCCTCGTTTGGCTTCTTGAAGTGGGTCGGAGCTCCCGACAAGCTTCGGAGCTGCCTTGGAGCCACCTCAGAGATCCGGCCATAGGGTATAATGGGGAAACAATAAAATATCTATAACGTTGTTGTTTTTTGTCCAATTTGGATGAAAGTTTCAGAGGTGGTAGACTCTGCAGAGAGGATAAATCCTGTCAAGTTTCAAGAAGATCGGTGCAGGGGTTTGGGGGGAACAGCACCCCAATTTCTTGAAAGCAAAACTCATGTCACGTCTAGGCATTACAACACAGCGGGGTGAAAACTGCAGGGGTGGTAGCCCTTACTGAGACCAGAAAGCCTGCCAAGTTTCAAGAAGATCAGTGCAGGGGTTTGGGGGGAACTGTACCCCAAGCTGCGGACAAGCAAAACTTGTGCCATGGGTGACACTGCACGTGCTGAGGTGTAGTGGGGTGACAGCTGTGGAGGAGATGGGTGCAGGGGGGCTCTGGGGCCCTGCACCCCGAGCTGCTGACAGGCAAAACTCCTGCCAAGACTGTGTCTGTCCTGGGGCAGTTGATTCTCTGTATTGATTCTTTCCTCCCCTTAGTCTGGTTTTGTAGGTGCTAATTGATGCTCGTTAAGTCGTTATGTAGTAGCTAGCTCCTGTGTATTGAGCTGGACCCTGAGTCCCTGGTCCTTGAGTGAATCATAATTGATCGATTGGTAACTGGTAACACAGCAGCTTAGAGCCAGGCCTGCAGTAGTTGATCTTCTTGAAACTTGGCAGGCATTGTGGCCTCAGTAAGAGCTACCAGCCCTGCAGTTTTCACCCCCCTGTGTAACACACAGCTGTGACATGAGTTTGGCTTTCATGAATTTGGGGTATAGTTCCCCCCAAAGCCCTATGCCAATCTTCTTGAAACTTGGTAGGTTTCATGCTATCAGCAGAGGCTACCATTCTTGCAAGTTTCATCCAAATCAGACAAAAAACAAAGTTATAGATATTTCATTGATTCCCCATTATACCCTATGCCCGGATCTCTGAGGCGGGTCCAAAGCTTTGGAGCCACTTCGGCCAAATTGAGGCAGAAACCCAGTCCAGAGCTCCGGATCAGATCGCGGCCATCCAAAACAGCCGGATCCGAAGCTGGATCGGATCACTGACGACTTGCACAGGCCTATTGCACAGCATCTTTACTGTCCCAATCTCTATTGCCTGTACTTGACCACAGTGTCCATGGCTGGGGATTCTGGGTGCAGCACTCTGCCACTTTTAAAGTTGTTTAGTTTCCACTGGTGGCAATGAACCAATATTCAGTGCATGTTTGAGGTGGGAGGTGTCCAGGTGTGGGGTTGCAGCCTGGACCCCTGCTTCTCAGGGCCTGGGGACCGGGAAGTCCAGGGAGCTGCCCAGTGGAATTAAACTGACCAGCCCTTTAAAAGTAGCAGAGAGCTGCCTCCTGATGCTCCAGTCCCCAGTAACACAGAAGTAGGGGTCCAAGCCTCACATCATCTAACCCCTCTCCCCCACCCCAAATAAGCCCGGGATATATGGAACCCTGGTCAGCTGCCACCCATGGAAAGAAACTGACCAGCTTCTTAAAGCCTCCAAAAACTGTCCCCTGAGCCCCCAGGCACACAAAATCAGGGGTCCAAGCAGCACCCCTTCCCCTCCACTCCCAAATCAGCCTGGGATGCACCAAACCCTGGTCAATTTCCAGGAATTGAAGTAAATTGTTGAGTAGCTTGAGAAAATGTAGATTTTAAAAGCCACACAAGTCCTGGGAACCCAGAAGCAGGGGTCCAGGCAGTGTGTCCTGTCCCCCCCACTCCCGCCTTACACACACCTCGGTAGTCCCAGCCAGGGTTCCACTACACAGATTTCAGTAAAATGCAGGTATGTGTCTTTACTAAACTCATTGTTAGTGAAAAGGGAGAGCAGAAAATTGCAATCAGTTTAATACTCACCACCATCCCTGGTGGTGGTTCCACGGTCCTGAAATGCTAAAAGGTGGTGGTTCTACTTTTACAGTGTGTGTGCAGACACCTCTGACCCCAGACAATTAGGAACTGGCTCCTCATCTGACATTCTTGGAATGGTTCAAGTGCTATGTCTGTCTGTACCCTAAAAGAGCTGATTTTGGATCTGAGTATAGTAACCAACAGTCTGTAATGTTTAAGGTGGAGAGAATATTTTTTCTTTTGAAGGCTGGATGCCCTCAGGCTGGAGTCAGGGAAGAACATTTCTAATATTTCTGAGTGTTGGTGTTTAAACCTACAGACAAAAATAAAAGATTAGTTCTATACAAGGCCTGGTTCTAAAATAAATTTATGAATTACTACTAGTTGTGCTAAATTTCTTGTGGGTTACAGCTAAAGCTTTGAGGGAAACTCATGTCCCCAATACAAAACACTGCATTTTCTTTCACCTTTAGCACTTTGACAAAAATGAATGGTGGTTATCTGTGGGGAAAAATATGATTATGAATGTCACTGCTTTTTCTTTTGACCTTTCTGAAGCTAATACCCCAGGATTCCAGGAAAAGTTATAGGTATTATTATAATTTTATGAGTCTGTAACAATTTCTCCTGTGGGAACTGCTTTATTCATCAAACATACACAGTCTTTCAAGCTGTTCTTAAAAAAAAGGGGGCATTTTCATATTAAAGCATCCCTATGTTTCTCTCCTACCACTGTAAGGAGATGGCAGAGGCTTAGCAGCTCAGCTCCACATACAGGGCAGCCATG